TATCTGTTTCGAGTTTAATAATTAAGAAATCACATATTAATTATGTAACCTGAGAAACAGCAAACAGTAAAATAGAGTACAAAATAATAGTTCTGTGTGTCAGGGATACTCAAGACCAGTTCCATTACTAGGAAAACTTAATGTCATTTATTGCAGAAAAAAAGGGGATTCAAAGCAAAATCAGCAAAGGGTAATGGTCTGTGAGGGAAAATCCAGAAGAAACAAGATGTAAGTTTCCAAGTATTCTCTCCCAGTGGAGTCACAAGTTGTTCTTAATTCCTCCAGCAAGTAACAAAATGTGTGAATGCTAGAGAAGTTTACTAGTGACTCAGTGTCCGGGATTTTTATTAAGGGCTAATCAAATAGAACTTTCTATCTACCAAGTTCCAAACTTCCAGTCACTCAGAAGGATAAACAGGTGTTCTGCATAAACTACATTCTTTGTACAGTATAGGTACATGAGCCACTCTTAATAGTTTGGGGAGTAGTTGGAACCTTTCCAAATTTCCCAGGTGCCAGTCAAGTGTCAGCTTTGTAATTATGCCTTTCTAAGGATAGCAGTCTCAGGCCTTCTATCTTCTCCTTCTATAGGATGTGCTATGGTTCTTGGCCAAGAAAATTTTACATTAAAATTATTATCACTAGGGCCTCACACTCCAGGGTGAGACTATTCTGCATTATTGATCTCAGTTATGCCCTATAGGAGTCCTGGACTTAGGTAATTTAAAAACTTCCTTTAACAATATCTTAGACAGCCAAGTGGCTTTATCCTTAATTTTCTGTGCTGACCTTTTTTATTTGGCTTAAAGCACCAATTCAGGTACTTAGCACAACTCTGGGCAACTCTGGTCAGTTGAAGCTGACCAGGAGTGAGGTATGATCATAATAGTTGGAGTACATATACAAGAAGTATAATTCCAGACAGCACAAATGGTACTCCTGGAAACAAAGGCTTTACAATTGTTAGGATATATGTTAGGCAGTCCAGCTTAACAGGGCCTACATGTGGGTCTCCCGCTGTGGTACCTCTCCCTTAGGTCTCCTAGTCCAGTCCAATTGATTTAATTGAGCTCTTTGTTTAAGAAGGACTTTCTGAAATCAATCAGTTCCTTTTGTCAATGACTCAGTTCATCTGCCTGGCAAATAGATGACATCTGCAGATGTTCTGAGTGGAAAGTGCAGGAATTGGCCACCCCTTATTGTCTCCTAATCATCATTATCAAGTGTGTTTTTGAGTTCAGTATTCACTTGGAAGTGCTCTTAGTAGCTTAAGCAGCAAAGGAAAGTAGGGAAACTTGTGGAGCATTTCTGAAAAACAAAGAGATGATTTATGCCTCTTCTTCCCTAGGACCTCCTACGGTACAGAGGTTCCCTCCCACCAAGTGTTACAGAATCAGGGTTCCCATTTGCTTTACATTTTTTACAAGTCATGTTCTATTTTCATTCAAGCCATTTGACTAGAAGGGTTGTGTAGAAGGACCAAAGAATTTTCACAGAAAAACATTTTTAGACAACTTAATCCAAAAGACATGTCATGCTCAGGAATGGTCAGAAAGAAACACTTAATTTTCAAAAATTTCAAAATGGGTTTACATAACCTCCTACTCCTTTTTTGGATCATTTTTCTAATGTGTGGCTTAGTAAAGATCAGTCCCTTTCTTAGAACACCTGTAGTTAATAATCAGACTGCTTTACTAATGCTTGTCTACCAGCAGAAAGGTGAGGGAAGTAGATCCAGATTCAACAGTCCCTGTTACAAGCTGTAACTAAAAGCTGCAATTTTTAATCCAGAAAGTCAAACAGTAATCAACAGCAATGACACATTCCAGAGGGAATTGGAATGATCTGTCTGGAGTATGATCCATCAGGTGTAGACAGAGTGACAATATCCCATATGTTGTACCCTCTCCCAATTAGCACTTTTCACAAGTAGGAAGGAATGCAATAGATTTCTGTATCAGAAACAGAATCTATCAGCAAGTGAATTTCAGATAGTCCCATCAGAAAGCAAAGCCTTTTATGTGAATGTATGTAATAGTTCAGCCTACATCCATGTTTTAAAGTTTAGGGCCCCAAGTGGGGTGTGTCCTAAATCTGGAAAAGACCCCTAGTCTGAGTCCTGTTTACTGAGGTTATGCCTTCTATAATCCTTCAGGACAGCCTGTACTAAAGCTGAAATACTCTGTAGCAATTAGAATCTGCTTCATATAAATCCTGTAGCTGACTGACCTACCTCTCTCTCTCTCTCTCTCTCTCTCTCTCTCCATCTCTCTCTCTTTTTCTTCTCTCTCTTCTTCCTTTTCTTTTTCTCTTTCCTTCTTTTTATCTACCTATCTTCCTCCCTCACCTTCCTCCCTCCCTTCCTTTCTTCCTTGCTTCCTTCAAATCTATAGCAAAGCTGAGGGATAGACAGTGTCAATGCTGTTTCTTGTATAAGTGACAATCAGGGCTTCACCAAGCCTTTTCTGTCTTGTCAATCTTCAAATCCAAATTGACTCGCTCAAAAAAGTATGTACATTATGCTAGAAAAAAATCATCCTCTAAAGTTCAACCGTATTAATTGATAGAGTGTATTAGCAACTAAAAAATGCTTTTGAAAATGACAAGAACATATAATTTTGACACATCCCATTTTGAGACTGACTTTTTTCCCCTGTTGTCTTTCTTTCCCAGAGGCTCTACTAGGCATATCCTTAGTAAAAATGATAAATTATGAAGCCTTGTTCTATTCTCAATATTGAAATAATTTAAATTCCAAGCACCCTTGGAGTCAAGATGTAAGGAAATAGTGCCTCATTCACACTTTCTTTGAACTTTTCCCTGATCAGAATGATTCCTCTAGCATTCATTAAATTAAACATATATTATTTTATATCAATTTTTATTATTTTTTCAGATGCAGTATCTACAAAATATAAGAAATGTCTGGAGGATGGGAATCCACTCCCTGCCCCACACACATATTTTTTAATCTGACTTATTTAAAGATTTACTCTAGCACCCTCTAAACTGGATAAACCTTTTTTTATACTCCCCCCTATAAGAAAAATAACCACAAATGAATTTTATACCTTTTAAAATTTTTATGCCTGTTAAAACCCCACTTTTTGGAAATCTTTAGGTCCTTTTTCCTCTCACCTGGAAAAGAGAATAAAAATCAAACACATTCTCTTATTTTATCTTTACCATCAAAAGTAGCCAGTGAATCTAGCAAGCCAGTTCTTCTAGACTTGTTGTATCATTTTCAGATTCCTCTTTTGACAGACAGCAGCTCATCATCCATTCATTATTCCTTTCCCCAAACAAAGCTTTCTTCATATTCTGGTGAGTCATGGGAATGCTAGTGAATCTTATCTCTGATGCCAATTATGTTAGGCTCATTGACTTTCTGAGAGGACTCACAGGACCTAATATATAATTATTACAATGCTATGATTTATTGCAGAAAATGAATACAAAGAAAAACTAGCAAAGGGCAAAGATACATGGGGTAAAGTTAGAAGAAACCAAGGGCAGGCATATAAGAATAACTCTCCCCATGTAAGCACACAGGGCATGCTTAATTACTCCAGCAATGAATTGTGAATTGTTTTTAACTAGGGAAATTTAGAGACTAAATGCCCAGGATTTAAACTGGAGGCCACCTGATAGAGCATCTCATCCATGATATTTTCTTAAATCCTTTTCAGAATTTGGTATTGGCATGTTAACTTTCACTCATATTTGCAACTTTTTTTTCTAGGCTCTGCTGCGCCTAGCCTCCTTGCCTTTCCCTTAAGTTAACTTTACTTTGTAGCTACCTACTTATAAACACATTGCTGCAAAATTTTCCTTTGTAGCAAATATACTGCTCTAAGGATTTCCAAGAAATTTTACAATTCCCAGGCTACAGATTATATAGCCATTTCACCCCCTCTAAGATTATGATGCCCCATTAGTCTGTGATTAAACGGTCTTTAGCTATTCTATTTAGGCCAAGTAATTTGCCCTCTCTGGGGATTCTGACTATTAAATCCAATATAGTCACTGAGATATTGGCCATTTCAACTCAGTTGTTTGTCTGGTGTAAGGTTTTTAGTGGGGTTATTCCCACTTTAGTAGCGACCCAAAATTTTTATATTCAAAAGCTATGATACTCAGATGAATCACATACCACAGCTACACTAAACAAGATTTATTGAGAATGAACTGTAAGCACAGTAGCACCAGAGCACATGTGACATTCCACTCTCTCATCTTGTACAAGTTGAGTTTGGTCTAGGGGCATTTGAAGGACAATGGAGAATACTCTAAAGGAAGAATTCTATACACGTACCAGTTCATAAATTTATAGCTAAACTGGGGGAGGGTAGAGGAAAACAGGTGATTCTGGAACTATGAAGTTTCCTGATAAGGGGGAACTAGTCTTATTGGGAAAAGAGCCTTTGGAAAGAGCTCACATGTTTGAATATTCCAAGTATTAATGAAAGACTTTGAGAGTACCAAGCTATCAAGTAGGGAGATATCAATTCAGGCCATTTAAGAAAACCATGTTCATCATCTCCATGGATTAAAAAAATTTTTTTCCTAGTGTTAGAATGGTTTTGGTTTTGTTCTGTATAATTTACTTTCAGTTTAAGTCCTATTTCTCATTGTTTGAATAACAACATTTTTGGACCTTTGTACCATTGGACCTATGTACCATGATCATGGTAAGAATTATTTACCCATTTACAATCTATTTCTTAGTAGTCCATCAGCCCTATTTTTCTAGATGAGATAATTCCCAATATTTTAACCTTTAAGTTTTCTAGTCTTTTAATAATGTTGGATTTTTGCTAAACCTTTCAAACTTTTCAAATTTCTTTTTAGTTGAGGAGCCTAAAATTAGTCATTATGAAGATTTTAAACAATGATATTTGTAATTTTTAAAAACCTACCAAAATATTTATGGTAAATTTTGACTTGTACATTTCCTAAATTGAAATTTTCTACAAAGTTAATTTTTTGAATCTTTTTAGGTTGTACTATAATGCACACTTTGAGTCCTATGTATTTTTGTTTTTCTTGTATACAGAAATGCATTCCATATTTTGCATTATTATAGATAATAATATCAAATACATTTTTCTCTATATTTGCATTGATAATTAAAAGTTCTATGTACACATCAATACTTGGGAGAGACTTTTTTCCCCCTAAAGGGGAAGAAGGGCATGGGTTGAAGATTGTGTTGACAGTTTAGAAAATTAATGGAATTAAGAAAATTCCTAAAAAAGAACGTCTTCGAAAGAAGAAAAAGAAAAACTAAGAAGAAGAAGAAAGGACAGTTTTGGCAGATATCCAAGGGCGATTTTCGCTTTTACAAGGATGACTATATTTTGAGGTATTATTTGTCATGATGTGTCTATGATGATATGCAGAATAGACTGTACTCTTATACATCTATTTGCTAGGTGAGAAAAGGATGTAATGCTCAGACCTTCAGAATTAACAAATGCTTTTGCAAGGAAGAGGAAATTTTCTCTTTATATCCCCTCTGTGTTGTTGAAGTGTGGCAACCTGCTTTTATGAAATCTGTTAAAATACATGCTTAAAAGATCAGTAGAGTAGAGGGAAGAGAGAAAAGGGGAAGGATAAGTGGAGGGGAAGGAGAAGTACTGGGGACTGAGTTAGAATACATTATATTCCATGCTTTTTAAATTATATCAGAATAAATCCTATTGTCATGTATAACTAAAAAGAACCAATAAAAATAAATAAATAAAATAAATGCTCAGTGTTATACTACTGTATTTTAATATTCAATAATTACTAGAAAGAATCAATCTAAAATGGGTAGCAAATGATACAAATTAATAATATTTTTAAACTATATTTAGGTTGTTTTTTAAATATTACCAAAGCATATGAAGGGAGTAAATCATTTTCTTTGTTATTATCATTATTATTTTATGTGTGAGTATATACTACTTTCCATATAGTCCTCTTTCTCCTTCTGTTCTGCAATATTCAGATAAGTAGTAAGGTTTTAAAGTTTTCCTAGCTCTACTTCTTGGCTTTGGTTGATGCAAGTTTGAATACAGTACTGCTTGCATCCTTTCTAGTATTTTTCATTCCTAATACCTTCAGTAGAAATATCATGGTTATTTGCTTGTAGGAGATAAAAGAAGGGAATGCCTCAGTGGGAGGTTATAAATGAACTTTATGATAGTATTTAAGATTATTGGGGTTGCCATACATTTTCTGTATGTTATGATAATGTACCTGTTTAGAATCCAGTGATTAATTATGTATCATTATAACCATTTCAAAATCTTTTAAAATGTTTTGCTTTCTACTTTTAGCTATATGGTAATTTTACTGGCAGAAGTGATAGTCCGCATGATAACTGTAGGTATGCTTGTGAATAAGTATCAGTTTATATTATACCTTTGGACCATTTTTATGTTTCAGTAACTTAAAGACAGTAGTCCTCTAGGGTATGTCTTTAAAAAACAGTCTTTAGAATAGTGTTATACTTTATTTTACAGCTAGTCATCTTAAATTCAAGTACTAATAAAACTATTAAATCATGTTTGAGTATGCAATGATATCCTTAACTGTTGAGGATAGGAAGCCTCCTACTTTAATATTACTTTAATATTGGAATCTGCTTTATAAATAGCACCACAAAAGTCTGTTTGTTGTCAATTACATCTTTTAACCACCATCCACTTTACACTTTTATCTTCAGGAATGTCCTTCCCACTTCACTACTCTTTTTTATAATCCATACTCCAGTGTTTGAAATCCATCCTAAATTAACAAATGTAGAATAAGTGGCAATAGTTACTTTCAAAACTTTTGTTTCTGGGACCAAAACTGAAATTATTTTACTAACTTTGCAATAAACCTTACACAAATTATGTCAACTGGAGCATTAGCTGATAAGATGAAGAACCATCAAACCCTTGCACTTGATAGGACTTAGAAAGCAGTTAATTTTTTAGAGAAAGCATAGGTAGTTTGACTGTTTAAATTATCATCTAACTTAGATTGTTGGGACAAGCATAAACCAGAACTGTGTAGAAAAACCATGACATATGGCCATTCTGGTTCTGGAACTAGGAGAGCTGATCCTCTGCGAATTGATAGAAAATAAGTACCTGTTACTTTAAAGAAAACCAGCTTAGAACTTGGGAATTGACTTGGTAAAAGACAGTGATCTTTTAATATCAAAATTGTGATGGAAAGATTTTTTTTTATTTTCATTCTGAAATTGTGGAAAAATAATTTTGGAATAAATGTGACTAAAGGGCAATCTCCAAACCATCCAGTGCTCTACTTTGATTGACTAAATCTTTCTCATGTTGTACTCTGTTATGACATTATGTAGGAATATTTTAAATGAGTTAATTTTATGCATCTATTTTAAATCCCAGAAGAGATATTGCTATCTTTAACTTGTTATCTGATGTCAATTTCATATTTATTACTATTAATTAATGAATAGTTATGATCGCATACTTAATATCCTTCTTGATTATGAAAATGATTCTTCAGTTGCAGATAAAATGTTCTTCAAATAATCTAATAACAGATGTTTTGTAATTCTAAAGCTCAGAGAAGAAAAGATCTAGCTCTGCTATTTCAGATCTTTCACAGAACCTCAATTCTCAAGATAAATCAGCTTTTTTAGAGATTTCAAATGAAGTTTCAACTGATGAAGCTCTACCTCACACATCTTCATTAGAGAACCATGATAAACCACGTAAAATAGAATCATCCAGCAAACAAAATCAAGAGTCACTGTCTGTTGAAATATTACCTCATGAGAAAGAAACAGTGACATCATCCTTGATTTCACCTCCTGTTCTTATTGAAGGAAACTCAAAGGTATTTATTTTGAATTACTAGACTCTTTCAGTATTTTGAACAAATGTTAATTAAAAACTCATCAATATTATCTTATATAGAATAAAAAGTCTTCTTCGCTAACACAACTGGTTTTATATTTAGAATGTTGAAGGTAATATTTGGAAATCTATATGATACCTTTAACATAAACATTTCTAATTGGTATTGACACAAAGTTGTGATAAAAGTAATATAATTACTAAAAGAAGGAAAATTTTTACATTTTTTAAATTTCAGATTCATCTACACAAAAACTTCTATAATAAGGTGATTGTAAACATGTAACAGTTATAAAATAATTTATATACTTTTAAAGAAGACAGAATTTTTAAAGAATTTCTTTTGCTAGAAAAGTATTTAATTATGAAATTGTTATGGTAAAAATCCTGGGAAAAAGAAAAAAAGGTAAAAAGGCTATTTATACTTGATATGTATCTATTATGTATTTTTATCATAGAAGTTATTAATATCTTTATTTTAAAAATTTGCAAGCGTTGAACTTTGTCTAAAGATTAAGCTTATTAAAATGCAAATCTAAACAAGAATTGTAATCAATAATTGTAACTCAATTTGTTTGGAAGTATCTATGAGGGAGAATCATATTATTACTGAGTTTCCTGCAGTACTATTCAGTATTCACATTTGCCTCTCTGATGCATTAATTGTGCCCACGTTTTTTATTTGATACATTTAGGAAAATTATAAAGTTTCTTCAATGTATTATAGATGAGAGTAAAAAACTAGCTTTCTTTCTAAAAGAACGTAATTAAATAGAGTTCTGAGATATTTAATTTGGAATTACTGTACTTTTTGTTATGAAGGCTGATGTATCAGAAGAGAAATTACAAACAGAGATTCAAAACCAAACAGCAGAAGAATTTGAAGGTAAAATGATTTCCTGTCATGTAATATGAAATATGAATGTCCCTATGCTATAATTAGAAGTAAATGAAGGAAGAATATTATTAAATTGTTAGTCATCCACTGGTTTAGAAGAACAATGATAGCTATATAAAAATTAATTTGATGAGTTACCATTATATTTTTCAGAGAGTCTATTTCAAGTAACTAATGTCTGTATAAGAGAGAAGTAATAACTTTGCTTGAACGAAACAGGTATATTTGTTAGTATAAACAATATCATATCAAAATCACATCAGGTGAATATCAGTATGTCTAACTTTAATATTCAATTTATATTTTATTGCACTAGCCTATACTTTTAAAACAAAATGGAATGCTTGTGATGTATGGTGCTGGAATATCACTCTTCTATTGTATTTTGAATAAGAATTTTCTACTGTTTCACATATGATGATTGGTTATTTTGATCAGAATGCTTTCTTTTATTTATTCTGAGTTTATTACAAATTTGTACCAGGAGTGGCATTTATTATATTTATAGTGTTGTGCAATCATCACTTCTACATCTATTGCACAACTTTTTATTACTCCAAAAAGAATCTCATTAAGCAATAACTTCCTTTCCCTCCCCACACAGTCCCTGGTAATCTCTATTCCATTTTCTGTCTCAGTGAATTTGCCTGATCTATATAATAAACTCAAGTGAAATCGGATGATATCTGTCCTTATAAGTTATTGTTTGTTTCCTTTACTGAGAAGAAGCTTTTTAATTTGAATTCATCTGATGTATTGATTCTTGATTTTACTTCTTGTGCTTTAGGAGTCTTGTTAAGGAAGTCAGATCCTAGGCCAACATGGTGAAGATTTGGGCCTACTTTTTCTTCTGTTAGGTTCAAGGTCTCTGGTCTAATTCCTAGGTCCTTGATCTGCTTTTACTTGAGGTTTGTGCATGATGAGAGATGGGGGTCTTAATTTCATTTTGTTGCATATGGATTTCCAGTTTTACTAGCACCATTTGTTGATGAGGCTATCTTTTCTCCATTATATGTTTGTGGCACCTTTGTCTAGTATGAGATAACTATTTATGTGGGATTGTCTCTGTGTCCTCTATTCTGTACCATTAGTCTATAAGTCTATTTTGATTCCAAAACCATGCTGTTCTTGTTACTCTTGCTCTGTAGTATAGTTTAAGGTCTGGTATAGTGATGCCACCTACTTCACTCTTCTTGTTAAGGATTGCTTTAGCTATTCCTGGGTCTCTTATTTTTCC